TTATTTATTTATTTGAGAGAGAGAGAGAATGAGTGGTAGGGGGAGGCAGGGGTGGGGGCAGAGGGAGAGAAGCAGACTCTGCTGACTGAGGAGCCTGTCGCAGGGCTTTATCTCACGACCCTGAGATCATGACCTAAACCAAAATCAGGAGTTGGAAGCTTAACAGCTGAGCCACCCAGGTGCCCCAAAGAGAACAATTTTTTAAAGACCCATGTCTAATTATTGTACCTGGTTAAGGACGTCCCTTAAAAGACATTGACCATAATGACCATACTTGACTGATCAAAATTTGTCTAGCTGTTGACAAACTTAGAATACCTACACGTAAATAATCAGGTCTCTGTATGTAATCTGTGACAATATAACGCTAGACTGTACTATTTCTCATTGTAACATTTGCTTTATCCCTATTTTTCCTACATTATTTATGAAGAATTCCTAGCTTTATACACAGATATTGCTGAGACTGATCTCAACAAATAGCATTTTTTTAAAAAAGATTTTATTTATTTATTTGTCAGAAAGAGAGAACACAAGCAGGGGGAGGGACAGGCAGAGGGAGAAGCAGTCTCCCTATGGAGCAGGGAGCCCGATGCGGGACTCTATTCCAGGACCCTGGATCATGACCTGAGCCAAAGGCAGATGGTTAACCAACTGAGCCACCCAGGTGTCCCTCAACAAATAGCATTTTTACAAAGATTTATTTATATATACTTCTTTTTATTTATTTATTTATTTATTTATTTATTTATTTATTTATTTATTTAAATTCAATTAATGAACATATAATGTATTATTAGTTTCAGAGGTAGAGATCAGTGATTCATCAGTCTTATATAATACCCAGTGCTCATTATATCACGTGTCCTCCTTAGTGTTCATCACCCGGTTACCCCATCCTTCCACACCCCCTCCCCTCCAGCAACCCTCAGTTTCAACAAATAGCTTTTTAAAAGCTGCAAATACTGTTTTATAAAATTTTTCTTTGTTTTGACAAGGGCAGTTTAGTTAGAATTCTTGCTAGTACACCTTTATATTGTTTAAAAATTTCCTGATTAATAATCTGAAATAGTTACTCTTAAAATAGGAAATTATAATTGGTCTATACTAATGCTACTGTCATGAAAAATTCCTAATAAGTAGTCTGGTGTTATTTTAAGAAAAAATTATGTAGTAAAAACTCAGGGATATTTAAGATATGATTCATTTCCCTCTAATTTGTACCATTATTGTTTTGACATTGAATTCAGCTTAGTTAGTAGGGGTGGGGTATGAAGAGAGAGACCTAGGGGAGGTTAGATTTGTTTGTTTTTTTGTCTTTTTCTATAAGGAGAACTTTAGATTTCAGTTATCAAATTATTTACTAATGGCACTAAAAAATTTACACATGTTCAGGCCTTTAACTACTTTTCAATTGTAAAGGATATCTAAGAAGAGCAAAAAGTTTTGTTTTAACATCTTTTTTTTTCACGAGGTATACCTTTTTTTTTTTTTAAGATTTTATTTATTTATTTGACAGAGAGAGACACAGCGACGGAGGGAACACAAACAGGGGGAGTGGGAGAGGGAGAAGCAGGCTTCCCACCAAGCAGAGAGCCCAATGTGGGGCTCGATCCTAGGACCCTGGGATCATGACTTGAGCCGAAGGCAGATGCTTAACGGCTGAGCCACCCAGGCGCCCTATAACTTTTCTTTTTCTAAAGTAAATAAAGCCGTTTTGGGGCGCCTGGGTGGCTCAGTCGCCCTATACCTTTTCTTTTTCTTTTTAAAGTAAATAAGGCAGTTTGGGGGCACCTGGGTGGCTTAGTCGTTAAGTGTCTGCCTTCAGCTCAGGTCATGGTCCCAGGGTCCTGGGATTGAGCCCCACATCGGGCTCTCTGCTCGGTGGGAAGCCTGCTTCTCCCTCTCCCACTCCCCCTGCTTGTGTTCCCTCTCTCACTGTGTCTCTCTCTGATAAATAAATAAAATCTTTAAGAAAAAAAAATAAGGCAGTTTTATTTATGATTTCTTTACTTGCAGTTACAGTTAAATCTCTATTCATTAACTCAATATTCAATACAAAATTCTAGTAAAAATAATAGGAGAGGGCGCCTGGGTGGCTCAGTTGGTTAAGCGACTGCCTTCAGCTCAGGTCATGATCCTGGAGTCCCTGGATTGAGTCCCGCATTGGGCTCCCTGCTCGGCAGGGAGTCTGCTTCTCCCTCTGACCCTCCTCCCTCTCATGCTCTCTCTCATTCTCTCTGTCTCAAATAAATAAATAAAATCTTAAAAAAATAATAATAATAATAGGAGAGGAGGGGAAAAATGATATCTTGGTTATGAAAAACTAGTTACTGAGTTCATAAATTCTGACCTTTTTAACAGTCAAGACAAAAATGGAAATAGAGTGGATTGTGTAACTTCAATATGTGGTAGTAGGTAAGGAGCACTTAACCCAAGTCAAAAAAAAAAAAAAAAAGATGGTGATGGCCCTGGCTGACTCAGTTGGAAGAACATGCGACTTTTTGATCTTGGGGTTTTGAGTTTGAGTCCCACATTGGGTGTAGAGATTACTAAAAAAAATAATAAATTTAAGAAACTGGGATGGGACAGGAAAAAGAAATTATGCCTTATAGATATGCTTTTTTATATCTATTACAGATTTTTTATTTGTAGTTTGAATCATTTAAGTATGAATCTTTTTGTTGTATTTGCTTTGTATGTAGAAATATATTTGATTTTAATCTTTATGATCACTTGGTAAAGTTTGCAAATTAGGATGATCTAAGGAAATTGGGATATTAAATGTGTAAGGTAATCTAGTAAATATAATTAAACTTGTTATTAAATGAATTTGAATAGGTGGCTACATGTTGCAGAAATATAGTTGAATCAAAATTAGGCTGATGTCCTAGAATTAGTTTTTATAAATAGGCTGTACTATGTTGTTTGGCTATTTAGTTTTTTGTGTTTTTTTTAAGATTTTATTTATTTGACAGAGAGAGAGAGGGAGAGCAGGAACACAAGCAGGGGGAGTGGGAGAAGGAGAAGAGGGCTTCCCGCTGAGCAGGGAGCCTGATGCGGGGCTCGATCCCAGGTCCCCGGAATCATGACCTGAGCCGAAGGCAGATACTTAACGACTGAGCCACCCAGGTGCCCGTATTTAGTTGATATTAGTAGTATCTTATACAAGACTGCCTGAAATGGTTTTAAATATGGAAATCAAGTTACATTTATTTTTTAGTAATTACTCTCTGTGAGTACTGAATTTAATAATTACTGTCTGTCTCCAAACAGACCATGTAAGATGCTTGAAGGATAGAACTCTATATTACCTACTTGTGAATACCCTACTTGCCTAGCCCAGTACTTTGAAGGTGCTTTCTCTTGTAATAAATACAGCAGGTCTATGTGTCTAAATGGACTTGGGCAGGGGCGCCTGGGTGGCTCAGTCGTTAAGCGTCTGCCTTCGGCTCAGGTCATGATCCCAGAGTCCTGGGATCGAGCCCCACATCGGGCTCCCTGCTCATAGGAAGCCTGCTTCTCCCTCTCCCACTCACCCTGCTTGTGTTCCTTCTTTCGCTGTGTCTCTGTCAAATAAATAAATAAAATCTTTAAAAAAAATAAAAATAAATAAATGGACTTGGGCATATAGTTCTTGGCTCTTTCATTTCTTCCTCAGAGTTTGGTCCTTAGTTCTATAGGTTCAGAAACATTATTTTCATAGGTCATTTCCAGTACTAAGGTGCTAGTGAATTAAGCCATACTAGGTAGGATACACACCCAAAATGAATAAATAAATCAAAAGCCCAAGAGGAATAAATATATTGGCCATATATAAATGCATATTTAATGTATTAGATTGTTACTCTAGCTAGTCAAACCTTAGGAAAGTCAACTTTAAGAAACCAAATAAAGATCAGTTGTTGCTTTTGATACCTTTTACTTCTTTGATAGTCTCAGCAATGTTGATAAATATTTGTTAGCTGATAAATTATGTGGCAAGTATTCTATTGAAATTAGCTAAAACAGATTATGTATATGGAAAAAGATTAACTAGAATTGAAAGTACATTAGGTTGTCCCTTCAGCATACAGTGTGATTGAGCATTCTGTTTCTGGCTTTTATATTGATTTTTTTTTTTTAAGATTTTATTTATTTATTTGAGAGAGAGAATGAGAGACAGAGAGCATGAGAGGGAGGAGGGTCAGAGGGAGAAGCAGACTCCCCGCAGAGCAGGAAGCCCGATGCGGGACTCGATCCTGGGACTCCAGGATCATGACCTGAGCCGAAGGCAGTCGCTTAAGCAACTGAGCCACCCAGGCGCCCTTATATTGATATTTTTAATAACAAAAAGTCATTTTCTTTTTGTCCACTAATATTCTTAGTTTTTAAAACAAATTTACTAAGGTATACTTTATATACCATGAAATTCACTCGTTTTCAGTGACTGATTATTTTTTTATAAATTTACAGAGCTGTGCAGCCACTACCACAGTCTAATTTTAGAACATTTCCATCTGCCCAAAAAGAAACCATGTACCCACTGGTAGTCATTCTCCTCATCCTTAGTTTACCATGCCCAATGATGTATGTTTAGCTTTCTACAACTGACTATAAAATAGGATAAAAGTGAATACTGCAGTATTTCCCAAAATTATTCAACCCTCTAGGTTTGTTAATTTGTTTTGAAGTTTTGATAATTTAAAGCATGGACTTTTAAAATGATGTTTCTTTATTCAGATACCTAAATTATTTAATAGGAGAGTAGTGAGAATAATTTGTGTAAGAAGGGATTGCTTTTGGGAAGTCAGTTTTCAAGTTTGCTTCTTATTTGGAGGTGACAAATTAATGAACAGAAAGAAATTATTGAATAAATATAAATTACAAATGTATTCAGGTCTTGTTAGGGATTTAGTAGAAAAATTTAGAGTGCCTTTCAAAAAGACTAAGATTTTATATAATAATGTTTTACTAAGATTTTCTTAAAATTAAATTTGTCATTCTCTTACTTGTTTCAGCTTCTCAGAACCAAGAACGTCTATGTGCATTTAAAGATCCGTATCAACAAGACCTTGGGATAGGCGAGAGTCGAATCTCTCATGAAAATGGAACAATATTATGCTCAAAAGGTAGCACTTGCTATGGCCTTTGGGAGAAATCAAAAGGGGATATAAATCTCGTAAAACAAGGCAAGTAACACTTTTCTTACCCGAAATAACTTTGTGTATCATATAATTGAAGTTTATCTAAATAAGACCTGAAGGTAGATTAAAACCTTCTCCAGGAAAACAGTAAGTTTTGAAATATATATCCTGTATATATTCACCCATAAGCCCCAAATTTATGAAGGGTAATAGGTTTTTAGCTTATTTTAATAACATTTTTCTTACTACAATGTTAATAATATATCCTCATTCTTACAAAGTTTAGAAAATATAGAGAACTATGAAAAAAACAGTTGTCTACAACTGCATACTCTTACAAACTCTTTTATATATTAGTTTATTCCCTGCAAGTATATTTTTTATGGACCTCTATGTATATATGTGTGTGTACTTATTTTTCAAAATTAGGATGATACTGTATGTATAAACAATTTCATACCCAATATTTCCTATCTTAAATTATATTATGAACATTTTCCCATGTCTTTTAACTTTGAAAACTTTCAAAACTTTGAAAACGTTTTTCACCTCTGTACAATATTGCATTGTATACACGCAATTTACACATCACTCTGTTGTAGGACATTATATTGTGTTCTGGTTTCACTATAATACATAATGCTTCAGTGGACATCTTTGAACATATATCTTTTTTTTACTTTTCTGAATATACTTTTTTATTGTGTAACTTTTAGGTGTATAATGTTATAATTCAACATCTGTGTGCACTATAAAGTGATTATCCCCAAAACTCTTAGTTACTATCCCATCACCCTACACTCTTTCACCTCTTTTGCATATACCCCCCAACTTCCTTCCCCTGATCTGGTCTATCTATGAGTTTGTTTTGTTTTGTTTGTTCATTAGGGTTTTTTGTTTTGTTTTTTTATTATGTAAATCACCATACATTACATCATTAGTTTTTGATGTAGTGTTCCATGATTCATTGTCTGCGTGTTAACACCCAGTGCTCCATTCAGTATGTGCCCTCTTTAATACCCATCACCAGGCTAACCCATCCTCCCACCCCCCTCCCCTCTAGAACCCTCAGTTTGTTTCTCAGAGTCCATAGTCTCTCATGGTTCATCTCCCCCTCCAATTTCCCCCACCTTCATTTTTCCCTTCCTACTATCTTCTTTTTTTTTTTTTAACATATAATGTATTATTTGTTTCAGAGGTACAGGTCTGTGATTCAACAGCCTTACACAGTTCACAGCGCTCACCATAGCACATACCCTCCCCAGTGTCTATCACCCAGCCACCCATCCCTCCCACCCCCAACCATTCCAGCAACCCTCAGTTTGTTTCCTGAGATTAAGAATTCCTCATATCAGTGAGATCATATGATACATGTCTTTCTCTGATTGACTTACTTCACTCAGCATAAATCTTTTATTGTATCTGATTATTTCTTTGGAATAGATTGCTGAAAGAACTATTAGATTATAAAGCATGAATATTTTAAAGGCTCTTTTGAAAATTGCCATATGGCTTTCTAGAAATGCTATATACATTTACATTCCCCCAGCAGTATATGGGAGTGTTACTGAAATCTTGTTATGATTGTATATTATCTTTTTAAACCTAGAACAATTTAATAGATACAGACAAAAATGAAATCTTACTGTTGCTTTAATAATAATTCTTAGATTAATGAAGAGGTTAAACATTTATTGGTGGCTTTTCTCCCTATTAAATGCTTGTTAATACTCTGCCATTTTTTTGTTATTTAAAAAATGTGTGTCTTCTATTCATTTGCAGGAGTGGTTTATAACTCATATGTATTATGTACTTACTCTGTCACATTGATTGTAGTTATTTCTTAGTTTGTTGTTTCCCTTTTAATTTAATTTATTGTATTAACCCTAACTTGTTTACATTAATATGTAGGATGTTGGTCTCACATTGGAGATCCCCAGGAGTGTCACTATGAAGAATGTGTAGTAACTACTACCCCTCCCTCAATTCAGAATGGAACATACCGTTTCTGCTGCTGTAGCACAGACTTGTGTAATGTCAACTTTACTGAGAATTTTCCACCTCCAGACACAACACCACTCAGTAAGTAGTTTAAGTAATTTGCTTTTTCTTGTTAATTCTTTCCTCCAAAGATTTGCAAAATTTAAAAAATATAATAACATGACGTTTGGCAGAGTGAAAGGGAGAGTTCAAACATCATGAGACTACATCTAGCTAACACCTGAAATCCAAAAGAGGTGCACCAGGATTTCCAGGGTATCACTAGAGTACCAAATAAGTTTGAATCAAATTATGGTACTTTCCAACCCCTGTGAAGCTATACTTCCAACAGTACAAATATACATACGCATAGGGGTGCCTGGCTGGTTCATTGTTGATAAGAGCATGCAACTCTTGATCACAGGGTCATGAGTTCAAGCCACACTTTGGGCATAGAGCTTACTTTAAAAAAATACATATGGAGGCACCTGGCTGGCTCAGTCAATTAAGCATCCAACTTGATTTCGTCTCTGGTCATGATCCTCAGGGTCATGAGATCAAGTCCTGCATCAGGCTCCACACTAAGTGTGGAGTCTGCTTGAGATTCTCTCTCTCCCTCTCCCTTGCCCCTCCCCCTGTTCACTCTCTTTCAAATCAGTAAATCAATCAATCAATCAATCATTCAATAAAATCTAAAAAAAACATATGCATAGAGTTATCCACTGCAGTATTATTTGTAACTGCAAAACATTGGAAACTATTGGGGCGCCTGGGTGGCTCAGATGGCTAAGTGTCTGCCTTGGGCTCAGGTCATGATCCCAGGGTCCTGGGATTGAGCCCCACATTGCGCTCCCTGCTCGGTGGGAGGCCTGCTTCTCCCCCTCCCTCTGCTTCTCCCCCTGCTCATATTCTCTCTCTCTCTCTCTCTCTATCTCTGTGTCTCAAATGAATAAATAAACCTTTAAAAAAAAATTGGAAACTATCTAAATGTTCAGGAATAGGAGATTAGTTAAAATATACTATGGTGTATACATGTAATGGAGTACTAACTATACATCTATAAGAAAAAAGAGTAAGATCTCTATGAATTGGTATGGAGTGATTTCTAGAGATAATGTCAGGAGAATAAAAAACATATATATACTCTGCTATCTTTTGTGTAAGACAGAAAGCTTATCTTTACAAAAAGAAACAAAGGATAAACCAGAAAATAATTAAATTGATTACTTAGAAGGGATGGAGAGAAAGGAGTGGGAAGTATACATAAAGGAATGAAAGAACTAATGTAAGGATTTTATAAACACAGTGTTTTACTATATATACTATTTTGGGCAAGATGGGATGTAAGAGATGGGGGGAGAATTGCATACAAATACTGAACTCTTTTAAGTTTGTTTTTTAGTAACCATGGACAAACCAATTGTGAAACAATTGTAGATGTATAATAGGATTAAGAAATAAGTAAATGGTGTTAATGCTCTTGGGAGCCAGTGCTCTTACTGAGGAAATAGGCACATACAATTATAGATGGGGGAAGACGAGAGAATCCTATGTGAATTGATTATAATTCAAGATATGAGTATGGATTTATAACTTTAAAAATATACATATGTATGTGTTACATGCATGGATATGTGGCCATGTACATATGTGTATATATTTGTATGTTTTTGTATATATGTATGGAGTGTACATACACATACCTATATATATTTCTTAGCTCTATCTGTTGAAAAGGATAAGAAGCAATAAGTAGCACCCCAGTAGCAGCAAGCAAATGTAATACCCAGATTTAGACTCTAATACCACTCCCCAATGAATGGAAGTTGGGCTCCTTGGAAAAATGACTTACTCTAAGACTGGAGCAGGATAGCTGCAAGATGAGCCGGAAGTATCTTGTAACACTAGAAAGTAAGGAAAAGAAGTGCCCCCAAATGGGGGAAACTTGTCAGAAGGGCATAGGAGCCAGCTTCAAGGAACTCCTACTGTCTAAATTTGGGACAGTTTGAGTGCTAAAAAGTACAGTAACAAACTGTAAGCCATTGGAGGGAAAATGAATTCATGAGTCTATGCTGATTGCAGAGAAGGGAGAAGAGAGGGCACTTGCTTACAGTAGAATGCCAGGTGCCAACTGGTAAATGTAGGAGTGCTGGAGTTGGAAAATTATCCTGTAGCCATCATGGTAAGGATTGGATCAGACAAGAATAATCAAAACGTCCTAAATCTAAAGGCATTTTCAATATGGAGCCAGGATATTTGCGTTGAAGTATCTCCCACATGTTGCAAGGGAAAAATTAGTAATTATAAGTTGAGGATATTGGATAACACCTTGACCAAATGATTAAAATTAACATCATTAATGAAGGGCAGATGGACATCCATGATACCCTGAGAAGAACACGGTATCACTAATAGAGTACTGTATGTCAGCCAAGAATGCATACCAGAAACTAATCATGAGGGAACATCACACAAACCATGGACTAGGAATGCTCTGTTATAAGAAGGGGATTTGTCAAAAATGTCAATGTTCTATAAGGCAAAGAGACTGTGGGAAAGATTTAGATAAAGGAAGCTAAAGAAACTTGACAACTAAGCCGTACCTAACTTTCCTAATGCTGGATGCGAAAAATATGATAAAGGACATTATTAGACCAGTTGACAAAAGAGATGATTAAAGAATTATTTCAATATTAAATATACTGAATCTGATAGCAGTACTGTGGTTATGTAAAAGAATATCCATATTCTTAGGAAGTAGTCTAAGAAATGTTTAGAAATAGGGGCAAAAATGCATACATGTGTATATCAACCTCCATGAACTGGTTCAAAATAAGTATGTGTGTTTGTGTGCATGCACATGTCTCAGTCAGTTAAGTGTCTGCCTTCAGTTTGGGTCATGATCTCAGGATCCTGGGATTGAGCCCCATGTCGGGCTCCCTGCTCAGTGGGGGGAGTCGGCTTCTCCCTCTCTCTCCCCCTGCTCGTGCTCTCTCTCTCTTTGTCTCTCACTCCCTTTCTTTCTCAAATAAATAAATAAAATCTTAATAAAAAGAGAATGATAAAGCAAGCAAATGGGGTAAAATGGTAACAATAAGTGAATTTGGGTAAAGATGTATGGGTATTCTTTGTACTATTCTCATCTTTTTTTTTTTTTAAAGAGTTAGAGCTTTTTAATTTAACTTAATTTAAATTTTAATTTTTTTAAAAGATTTTATTTATTTATTTGACAGAAATAGAGATAGTGAGAGCAGGAACACAAGCAGTGGGAGAGGGAGAAGCAGGCTTCCCCCCGAGGAGGGAGCCCGATGTGGGACTTGATCCCAGGACCCTGGGATCATGACCTGAGCCGAAGGCAGACGCTTAACGACTGAGCCACCCAGGCGCCCTGTACTATTCTCATTCTTACAACTATTCTGAAAGTTTTAAATTAGTTCAAATAAAAATTTAAAAATTTAAAAGTATATATTTTTTGAAATATAGCACATTTCAAGAATTCTCTGTCAACAGCTTTTATTAGTTCATACTCTGAGATCTTCAGTTTGGGATTATTTCCTTTGATTTCTTGATGAAACACTAAACTGAAAGCAATGGGAAGTTTTTTCTTATCTACTCAAGGCCATTAGCTTTTATGAAGAAATTATACTGAATTGGCTACATTTATTTTCCACAAAGAAGCAAACAAACAAAATAAGATTTCTAATTTTCACTTGTGCATCTAGCTAGATGAAAGTGAAGTGAATTTGTGCATAAGTTCTCCTCAATATTTTTATTGCTACATTTCAGAATGTTACCTAGATTTTGGTCTGCTATGATCTTTTGAACCAAAAGCTGAAGTATTGCCAATTAGGAATCAAGTAATGTTAGCCCAATAAAAAGGGAAAGTGTTTTAAGTAAAGTGCTGTAATATGGGAGCATTGGCTCAATTTATATATTTTGTTCTAAACAAAGCAAGTAAATTTGAAGTTAGCAAACAAGATGAATATTGGTTTTTGCATTAATCTCCAGAAAAATAGTCATATTGAATGTCAGACATTTAGTCGATAAATGATAAGATGCTTGATCAAAATAAAAATAGTTTTAAGTGTTACAGTTTAAAGAAATTAATTAAAATTTAACATTAAGGGGGGCGCCTGGGTGGCTCAGTTGGTTAAGCGACTGCCTTCGGCTCGGGTCATGATCCTGGAGTCCCGGGATCGAGTCCCGAATCGGGCTCCCTGCTCGGCAGGGAGTCTGCTTCTCCCTCCGACCCTCCTCCCTCTCATGCTCTCTGTCTCTCATTCTCTCTCTCTCAAATTAAAAAAAAAATTTAACATTAAGGGGGTACCTGGTTGGCTCAGTTGGTTAAGCGTCTGACTCTTGATTTCGGCTCAGGTCATGATCCTCAGGGTCATGAGATGGAGCTCCATGTTGGGCTCTGTGCTCAGTGTGGAGTCTGCTTGAGATTCTCCCTCTCCCTCTGCCCCTCCTCCTGCTCTTGCTCTCTCTCTAAAATAAATAAAATCTTAAAAAAAAAAAAATATATATATATATATGTAAAATTAAGCAGAACTTTTTGTTCTTGGTTGGATAATAATACAGCAGTAGAAAATCTGGTGATGGTGATTTTTTTTCTCCATTAAAATTTTCCATTATAAAAATACCATTTATTGCATATTTAACATAAATATTTGTCAAAGACATTTATATATGTTTAAAATTTACTAGAAATATGGTGCACACTTATCAGAGATGGAGAAGTAGGATAGTGTGGGGTGACTGTTGAGAGGGAAGGTTACATATTATTCTTATATTCTTGAATTATTTGAATCTTTAACCTGAGAATATATTTGTGTATTACATGTGTATGAAAATATTAAAGGAATACCTGCTTGTTAAATTAGAAAAATAGAAAAATGAGATAAGTGAAAAGGAGATAAATAATCTTCAATAATTTCTATATCCAAATACAACCATTACTAATATTTTGAATGTTTTCTTCCTAGTCTTTTCTCTTTAATTTTTGTATAGTTGTATTAGTGATAAGAATGCATTTAAGGACCACCTGGCTGGCTCAGTTGGTAGATCCTGCGACTCTTGATCTTGCAGGTCCTGAGTTAGAGCCTCATGTTGGGGATAGAGTTTACTTAAAATAAAGGGGAGAGGGAATAAAAATTCATTTTAGATCCTACTTTTTTGTTCAGCAGAATAAGTATTTTCCAGGTTATTGTATATGTTTCATAGTCATCAATTTTAATGGTTGTATAATATTTTATCAATTAGATATTTTCCTTATCCATTCCCTTGGTTTTAGACATTTAGGCTGTTTCTAGTTTTTTATTCCAGTGGGCATCTTTGTGTATATAGCATTATATTAAATTATAATTCCCAGAATTATAATTTCTATATCCAGTAGTAACAGTATTAAAATTCCTCATATATTGTCAAATTGCTTTTCCATTGGTGGATACAGTTCATTCTCCCGTTAGTGATATACTGGAGTGCATATTCCATCATGTCTTTATCAACACTAGTATTATTAAAATAAAACTTTGCTGAGATCATTTTGAAAAAAGATTTGGATTGGGTTTTGTTTTTTGTTTTGGGGGGATTTTTTTGAGCAAGAGAGAGAGGGTGAATTCAAGCAGGCAGCAGGCAGAGGGAGAGAGCGAGAATCTTAAGTAGGCTCCACACTCAGCACAGAGCACAATGCAGGGCTCGATCTCACGACCCTGAGATCATGACCTGAGCCAAAATCAAGAGTTGGACGCTTAACTGAGCCACCCAGGTGCCCCTTGGATTATTTTTATTAGTGAGGTTCACATGTTTTTTGTTTTTTATGTTTTGAATTTCCTATGTTCATTGTCTATTTGTAATATTCTTTTCCAGTAATGAAGCTAATTAGCTTTGAGAAAAATGATTTAGAATAGTCTGAAATCTAGTCATTTCATCCCTTGTCAATTTGTCTTGATACCATAGGATGACAGGAGCTACATTTTAAATAGTAATTTAACATGCATTTGTAACATTTTTTAAAAAATCTTTGAACCTTGGCTCTTCCTAAGGAAAGACCATTAATATCTTTCATTAAAAGTTCAATGCTCATTTATAGAGCTAAATTATACCTTAATCAAGGTGTTAAAAATAAAATGTTCATTACTCATTCTTCTGAGAACAGTGTTCACTGAAACAGTATCTCCAAACCTCACATGATGTTTTCGTAATGGCTATTAAAGCTTTGCATTTGCATAATGTTTTATAATTTCAAAGTGTGGCACATCTGTAAACTCTTTGAAGATGTGTCCATAATATTTGGGTAGTTTAGTAAAAAATAAACCCTTTTGTCCTGCTGAGTAACTATGCTACTCAGGTTGAATGGTCATTGAAGTGGTTGTCTTTCTCTAACAGATTTAACTTGCAGCTTATCTTTTTTTTAACTTTTTACCTATTATTGTATCGACAGTCAATGTCAGGTTTTGGCCCCCAACAAAAAAAATGTTTTAAACTTTTATATTTGAAATTATTTCAAACTTACAAAAACTTCCATATACCTTTTATCCACAGATTCACCAATTTTTAACATTTTGCTGTATTTGCCTTATTACTCTCCCTCTCCATATATATACATATGCCGATAACTATTTTTTTCTGAACTTTTGCAAATAAGTTGTAGGCATCATACCTAAATTTTCACGTATTTTGTAATTGTCTCTGTCTCTTCTAGATTCTCTTTTAAGATTTTATTTTTCATTTATTTCAGAGAGAGCTTGTGAGAGAGCAGGAGACCAGGGAGGGTTAGAGGGATAAACAGACTCCCCACTGAGCGGGGAGCCCAACATGGGGCTCTATTCCAGGACCCTGGGATTATCACCAGAGCTGAAGGCAGACAGGTAACCAACTGAACCACCCAGGCTCAATCCTACTGGATTTTTTTTTTTTTAAGATTTTATTTATTTATCTGACAGAGAGATACACTGCGAGAGAGGGAACACAAGCAGGGGGAGTGGGAGTGGGAGAAGCAGGCTTCCTGCGGAGCGGGGAGGCGGACGCGGGGCTCGATCCCATCCTGGGATCATGACCTGAGCCGAAGGCAGACCCTTAATGACTGAGCCACCCAGGCACCCCTGGATTCTTAAAAAAAAAAAAAATTATTAGAGTATAGTTAATACACAGTGTTATCTTTTAGTTGCACCATATAGTGATTCAATATCTCTTTATATTATGCTGTGTTCACCACAAGTGTAGCTACCATCTGTCACCATACGTTATTACAGTGTCATTGACTATATTCCCTCTGCCGTACCTTTTATTCCCATGACTTAATCTTTCCATAACTGGAAACCTGTATCTCTCACTCTCCTTAACCCATTTTGCCCATCTCCCTACCCCCTTTCCTCTGACAACCATCAATTTGTTCTCTGTATTTGTAGGTCTGATTCTTTTGTTTATTTGTTTATTCATTTGTTTTGTTTTTTAGTTTCCACGTATGAGTGAAATCATAAAATGTTAGATGCCCAAAGTAGGTGGCAATGCCTTAACCATATGTGTGTTGCTAGGCCTGAGGGCCTCTTATATCCTTGTTAAGGGTAGTGCTAACCTCTCCTTTCATACAACACTCTTCTACAAGATTCTAAAGTCTTTGGTGATAAGGACCTTTTTTAATGCTCTTTTGTCTCTGCATTGACTACTAGTACAGTGTCAGGTATGTAGTGGTAGGAGTGAAATAAATGTTTGTTGAATGAATAATTTAATAAAAGGATATATGCTAATGTATAAATTCTGAAATGTTTTCAAATACTTGAAGGGAATAGGATTTGTTGTCATTTGTAATCTGGCAAAAGTTGAGATCATTGGATTCACTCAGTAATAGACAGGTATTTATTGAAAGCTGGTTGTTACTTTCAATTAAAGGGACAAATAGTTCATGGGACAGTAAGTACAGGCAAAAACAGAACAATTATTAACTCCCTTATTTTAGATTTATTATGGTAAAGTATAAAAAAGCCGTAATTGTTCCCATTCTCCTTTCCACTCCTAAAAAAGAAGCATCAAATTTTAATTTTTGAAATAATGCAGGAATTTAGAAAAATTTCCCTAAGTAGATGCTGTTACATGACCTAATTTTCAGAGACCCTTACTCAAAAAGTACAATTTAGCATATTTTAATACTGGTAAAGAAAATGATGCACAGGTAGGTTATGGCTTTTTTAAAGGTTATGTTCTAGGGAAACAGCAGAAGGTACTTAATGTTCTCTTTAGCCTATTCATTTCTCTCTCGATTGTTTTCAGCTGAACAGTTTACTTCCTGACATCAAACTATTCATTGCTGTTACTGGAATTATATCTTTCTCATCAAGTATGCATTTACACAATATCCAGAACCACTTTTACCTGCCTTCTTACCACTATACCTCATACATTGAGTAGGGTTAGACCAGTGACAATGAAGAAATATATGGATGACTGAGAATAACAAAATATAGCTCTCTTTCCTCAGGAAAAGCTTGTTTTTTGTTGTTGTTTTTGTTTTGTTTTGTTTGTAATCAACCTCAGTTGAAGCTGAAGACCATGAGGTAGTTAGTGATAGAAACTAAAGCATATGATAGCAGTGAATCTTTTAAGAATAATGTGGAGGAGTTGTCAGGGAAAATATGATAGACCAATCCATGACCATAAGTGATTATCTTTCATTTTGCTGAGCCACAGAGTCTTACATTATAATCATTTAAAAATTACTTTGATGTGGAGTTAGGGGAGTGAAGAAAGGTTATTCCATTTACCTCTAGTTCTTAAATTTTTTTTTTACAGATTACAGATTTTGTGTAGTCTTATAAAACTGCCTTACATAGTTTTTTGGAGGCAATGAGATATGACACAAATTAATGAAATCTCTGCAGACTTCTGGCTGTTTTGCTAAAAAATTTAGTTTAATGAAAAGTCCACTGATTTATGTTTTGTTGAAACATAAATGAAATGTCTGTTTTAAAATAAGTATCAGCAGTTTCTTACTAATTTTAGAAAAAGGTATGTGAGCATTGTTAAATGCCATAAAAATTAAAGTTCTGTTCGGACTACAGATGACCAATGATTTTCTGAGTCCCTTTATTTTTTTCTTAGATTCTCCTTCTGTTGTACCCAGTATGATATGTTAACTTTTATAGGAACTGTCCTTTCTTCCCCCATCAACATATGGTGTCCTTACCTCTATTTCCCTTCAGATATTAGTGCTAGATATTTAACGAGTTTTGCCTCATAAAATACTTATAGTAAATTTAAGATTCTTAGAGAATGTTATTCCAGATGGGATAAATATAGTAATGAAATTTTAATTCGTTTCATCAGGATTATAAACTTATTAGACTCAGCAGTCTCCTTACAATAAAAATATAAAGGGAATTTGGGCATTTAACACATAGTGAAATCAAAACTAGCTAAATAACATTTTTAAAAATATTCACGATGTGTCAGACATTGTTCTAATTGCTGTCTATGCATTAAACCTTTACAGTTAACCCTTACAGAAACACATGAAATGATTACTGTTATATTCTTATTTTACATTGAGAACACTGAGGCACAGATACATAATTTTTTACCAAGTCACACAGCTAATAAGTGGTAGAGTCAAGATTCAAATGTAGGTGTTTGGGCTCCATAGTATGTGTAATTAACTATTACTTTCTATTGGTTTTAACCATTACTCTCTATAATCAGTTGTTATTAATCATTACTCTTATACTCAAACAGGGGGCCAGTTTATATATGTTCATTCATTTGGAAGGAGGAAAGAAAAGATTATTTTGAAAATACTTGATTACATTTCCTAAAATTTAAGGACTCTTCATGATTCTTTCACCATATCTGTTGTACCACTGAGTACCATAAAATGTTTTCTATATTCACATGACATATTACTTAATTATTTAATATTTTTTTCAAATTATCTCATTAAAATTATATGTTCTTTAAAGGGAAACTTTTCATCACTACTGTAAATGGAAAGCCAATGTCATAAGTGGGGGTAACTTTAAAAATTATTTATTTAAAAATAAATAAAATGAAAACTAAGCCATATATATATTAGCTAACTAGATATTGCTGCTTGCCAAATTGTCTGAAACTTGAAGCTTACTTTCTCTGTGTTAAAAGAAAATAACAAATATTGATAATAGAGATTCACTGTCACCAAGTTGAGGTTTTCTTCTTTTGTAATTAGACAAAAGAAAGAAAACTAACTCATTAACACATGTCCATCTACCACCTAAAACCAGAAGTCTGACACTTTAGGAAAGTGAACTATATTATTCTGAGTCTCTTTGAACCATAAGAGACTTTGCAGTACCCATTTGTTTAAAAAGAAAATCAGTCTTTAAGTAAATGTTTATACCCTTAATTCATGCTTATGTGTTTATAAATTCCCAGAGTTTGAAAGAGATGTATAATTATTGCAAGGTTTGAATACTTATTTTAGAATAGTTTCTTGTTAAAGTTTCTGGAATTAGTATAATTAACCTTCCTAACTATAAAGTAAACAAAGTGATTAAGTTAGTAGAAAAGCAGACAAAAATTTGTCATTTTCTAAAAAATTAAATAGACCTAAGTCATTGTATTTGGTGTTGGAGGTTCTTAGGTGAAAATCAGCATAAAAATGTAGAATGCTTTTATTTTCTTTAACTTACATCATTCATTAAGTTGATTGTTGGATCAAATTGTTGAGAAACAAAGACTGAATAAAGCTAAGTTTAAGAAATCACATTCTAATTTATGCTGTGCTGTTAAGATTAGAAATTCTAACTTCAGTGTCTGGCAGCAAATGTCTTTATCTCACACCAAGCTAGAAAATAGGAAAGAAAGCCTACATTCAAAGAAACTGACATATGGGGGCCACAGATAGGTTTTTAGCTGTTGTGAATTTATAATGGTTTTTCAGTTTTTACTGCTTCTTTGACAGCATTAAAGTGATTGAATAGACACAAAAGGAGAAATAAGGATGGCTGGACGTTTTTGCTTAGTACTTGATGAAGCATTTTAGCAAGAGACAAAGTATGTTGTTTTTTACCCTTATTAAAAATATTAGCGGAGAAGGGGTGGTGCAAGAGAAGTAAAGTATGTATCCTTTAGAAAATATTCTTTAATGCAATAGTAACAAGATTTTATTTGCACATGTTCTGTGGTGTTGGTCAGACAGTTTTCATTCTAAAATTTTGCTACCTCTGCCCTATTGAATATCAATCCCAATCTATATCTACATATTTTGTCCCTATTCTCTCAAAAAAAGTAATACCTTTTCATGTTGGTATTTTTAAAATTTATATTACTTGATTGTCCTGATGAACAAAGCAAAACCTGTTTACTAACCTGGCTTTACTGACAAACTTAGTGGAAGCTTTTGGTCTGTAAAATGTAAGACCCAAGCATTTATGGTGGAATTGACTGATATTTAAAAATAAATGTCTTCTCAAATACTGGACAATTTTGGATGTAGAAGCAAGAAATAATTTTCATGTTTTTACTTAATAATATCTATAATTTTTCTTATCTTTATGTCCAGTTCCACGTGTGCTCCTTTGTACCTGCCTTAGCTGTTTCTCATTTCCTGTAGTCTCTCTCTGATTACTGAGAATTTTCTGCATATGTTCATATAGAAAAACTGATTATCCATCTAATATAGATTTAGTGGTTTCAGGGTTCTGGGATCAAGCCCCAAGTCGGGCTCCCTGCTCGGTGGGGAGTCTGCTTCTTCCTCTCCCTCTGCTCCCCCCGCCTCGTCCTCTCTCTCTCTCATGCTCTCTGTCTCTCTCTCTCAAATAAACAAAATCTTTTTTTAAAAAAAGTAGAGTCATAGGTACGTGAAGATACTTCAAGTACATTCAAAACCAAGATGAAACTAGCTGTGATTTGAATAGCAATCGTCTTTATAACAGTATGTTGTTTTTTTTTAATTGAGGTATAATTGACATGTAACATTATATTGCTTTCAGGTGTTCAGTATGATGAGTCGCTATTTGTATGTATTGCAAAATGATCACCACAGTAAGTCTAGTTAAAATCTGTCATAGTGCATACTCACAAAATTTTTTTTTCTTTTTTTAAGATTTTATTTATTTTATTTAATTGACAGAGAGAGAGAGAGAGAGAGACAGCGTGAGAGGGAACACAAGCAGGGGGAGTGGGAGAGGAAGAAGCAGGCTTCTGGCTGAGCAGGGAGCCCGATGCGGGGCTCAATCCCAGAACCCTGGGATCATGACCTGAGCTGAAGGCAGTCGCTTAACCAACTGAGCCACCCAGGCGCCCCAAATTTTTTGTTCTTATGATGAGAACTTTCAAGATTTACTCTCAACAGCTTTCGAATATTCAATATAGTATTGTTTTTTTTTATTGATTTATTTTTTAATTTTTAATTTTATTATGTTATATTAATCACCATACATTACATCATTAGTTTTTGATGTAGTGTTCCATGATTCATTGTTTGCATATAACACCCAGTGCTCCATTCAGTACATACCCTCTTTAATACCCATCACCAAGCTAACCCATCCCCCCACCGCCTCCCGTATAGAACTCTCAGTTTGTCCATATAGTATTGTTAACTGTAGTCACCATGCTGTACATT